CTGCAAAATGAGGAGATGTCTTTGTTGTTTATCTCTGCCTTAAAGCAAACACTTCCCGGCCTTTTACTCTCTGTTCTTGAGGAAATCTATGCTTTCTTGAAGCCTTCATGCTTGCACTCGATGCCACCTCCTCCAATGGTTGCTGCTGTTAGCGGCAGCAGCAGAAAGGAGAAGAAGACTCAACCTGAGAGCACGTGGCACTGAATTACGCAGAGGCTCTGTTTGGCTCCCTCGCCTGCCTTATTACAACCCAATATTTTCTCTCCTGTTTTTATTACTGTAGGGCCCTGGCCAACAACGGGCCTGTTTCCCAGTAGAGCTGCAAGATCAGCTAGGATAGCGTGAGTGAGGATTTATTAACCTAAAGCCGATTATAAATTTCTCAACAAAGCTTTTTGCCACTGATCACTCCAGTTTGCCAACACAGGTATTTTCCAAGCACCATGGGAGTGGGGAGAGGTTCCCCACAGCCTCTGCTGCCCCACGAGGCTGGTAGTTTGGGAGGTTCACCTCCGGGGCTGGAGACTCAGGCCCCAGGCCCCAGGCCCAGTCCCTCATGGTTCAGATCTAAGACTTGCAGCCTTAAATCAGATGCAAGTTTGGGTCACATCCCAGGAAAAATGGAAAACACCTGATATCTGTATGGGAGTGGGGGCTCTGCCTGCCTCTGGTCTCATCTGACCTCTTCAGCACCTCACCAGCCAACGCATGGAGGTGGCAATTCTTCACCCCCATGGCTTTGGAGAGCTGCTGGCATGGGGAAGGACCTTCCCTGGCCACCAGTGAAATAGCAGGAGCTTGGGAGAGGGTAAAGAGGGGCAGGAGCAGGCAGGGCTGGGTTGGGACAGAGAGAAAAGGGCAGCAGTGGAGGAGGAGGAGAGAGGTAAAAGGGAGGAAGCCAAGAGGCATTTCCAGGAGGAGAAAGGGAGGCAGCCTAAGAGCTCCTGGTCCCGGAGCCCCCAACAGCACCTGGATCATTTCCCTGCACGATCCCGTCTAATTTTCGCCCCATGCAGGCAAAACAGCGGCTGTCGCCTGATTACCTCGGAGCAAGCTGAAAATGTAGCGGGACTTGGCCTTTTATTCTTGTTCCTGGCTCCACGTGAGGTTTTCAATCAGCTGTTAATGGCTCTCCCCTCACATAATTCATTCCTCTCCCCTGTAATTGTGATTACATGGAGCCCTGAGTTTGTCTTGCCCTTCTTGAGCCAGCGCTTGGGTAGCTTGGCTATGGCAAAGGCTCCTCATGCGCAGCGAGCGGGAGAAACGCCTGCAAAGCACATTTAGGAATACCTCAGAATCTCCACTACCTCTCGTCTGCAACATTTCCAACGTGGTATTAAGTCGTTCCTCATGAGGAGGAAGCTTTGTGCGTATGAATGGCAGGGCTGGGACAGGGTTTTACACCAAGCAGGCAGATGGGGAGCCTGTCATCAGCTGCCCCATCGCTGCAAAGTCTGCGGCACAAGAACACAGACAGTGGGATAGACTGCACCACGGAAAGGAGGGAGAGAAATACAAATATGGAATTTCAAAGAACAACCCAAACCCATACCGTATTTCTGCTTGGGACAGGCTGCTGCCTCCCCACATGGGCTGTCAGCTGTGCCAGAGCACACTGGGGATCGTGAGGGATTTTAGGCTTTTCTTGGGGGGTGGGTCATCCAGCAGCATGAAGCTGCTGGTGAGGGATAAGGAGCATCATGTAAAATAGATTTATGTGGATTTGGGATTGGTTTACAATGAGAAAGCTTTCCTCAGAGACATTAGAAAGGTCCAGCAGAGCACCTGGACCTGGTTTGGTGTAGACACGAGTTATTATCCGCTCACACCTGGGGAGCGCAACTGCGGCGCCTGTTGAAGAGGCTTTATTTGCACACATCAACTGTTCTGAGCAATATTTGTGTGCACATGAAGATTAATGATTGATTCAGCTGTTCGTTCAGGCAGCAAGGCCATGGCCATTCGCATCTTAAAATAGGAGACTGAAGTCCCCCAGGTGTTACGTGCTGGCCTGTTCTCAGGGATGTTTGCCTATGGGACCTGCCCTGACCTGGCACAGCCAGAGACCCCACCAGCTGTGCAGCTCAGCACCTGGCCCCAGGTGTGCTGAGTGCCCTGGAGCCACAGCTCCCACCTCTGGAAGGAGCCAAAAGCAAAAGTCTTGGGTTTTAGCACCTTCTCTGCAGACTGCACCTGGGACAGGGACGAGGAGACAAGGCAATGAAGACGATGCTCCACAGCAGCTCCTGCTGAGCCCTTGCCGCAGCCACAGAGCACACTCAGACCCACCTCCCATGTGTCCAAACCTGCCTTCGGGCAGGTTGAACTAACATGAAAATCTACTTCACATGCCAGATGCCACTGGTGCTCCCCTGGACCCAGCCAGTCTGTACCGCCACCAGTGGGGATGCTCCTGTAACGCTACTTGCTGAGGGTTCATCCTCCCCAGTCGAGCAAATGCAGCAGCCCACGGCTTTTAGGTCAGGATATATAACTTGCTTTCATGTTTCGAAAGATTTCCATCTGCACAGCTCTTTTGGTGGCTAACGAGGTTGCAAATCCCTGTGAGTCAGGCTCTGGATGTATCCCTGAGCATCTGCATTCACTCTGATGGGATGGACTGGCAAGCCCATGCAAAGGGAAGCATTTTTGCTCCTCACACGTGGAATTTATCTCCAAATATGATTCAGCTGTGAGAGGAATGGCTCCCTACCGGGATGTGATCCTTCAGTCTATAAGTACCGGCTGTGCCATTTCACATGAAACAAAAATTCCCAGGAACATATAATTTCCCTTTCTATATGCAAAATCCCACATCTCTGCTGATGAGAATCTTTTAGTAGCAGCACTGCCGTTGTTTACAGGATAAAACCCCATTAACCACACATTATATTCACGTGCAATTTCCTTTTTAGAGGTCAGTTGAGTTTCAGGAGAACTCCTTTACCTGCCTGGAGGAAGTGTGCGCTTTTCCAGCGGCGATGCTCGATAGCAGAGCATCGCTGCCGCGCGCTGTGCCGATGCTACTGACCAAGACTGCCCTCTACCTCCCCAGGCTCTGCAGCACATCGCTGCTGCACCCCACGCCTGTGTCGCTGCTGAGTGCAGATTTTGGGGGACACGGGGGTGCCCCACTGCCAGGGCCAGCAAATGTGCGCTCCTAGCAACCTGCTCAGCAGGGACCGTCTTGTGCCCCTCTGCCTCTCGGTGAAGTCGTGCCTGTGGCAGCTCAGCAGATCAAACCCTGCATCTGCTTCATGGCAGGCTCCTTCCCTTAACGGGGATGTCCCAGGTTTCAGCATGCCCTGACTAACCAAGCCTAAATCCTTGGGTTTTGAACGTAGATGAGGAGAACCGAATGGGAATGGGCCATGAGCTACCCGCTTGCCACGTCTCGTCACCTCTTACATCACCATTCCACTTAATGAGCCTTTACAAAAATCTCTTATTACAAGGAGAAGAAAATTGGGCCCACTGTTTTCACAAAGCTGTTAAGTCTAACAAGGAATTAGATTATTTTTAGCAGAGTAATCCATAATACATTCATTTAAATAGCCTGCGAAAAGAAAACGTTACAGAAAGGCTGTGACATGTGGGAAAAGAGATGCCACAAGATTGTAATTTAAAAGGATGGGCAGCTAATTAAAAAAAAAAAAATTAACAGTGTGGTGGTTCCCTCTGCAGACTCAAACCATTCTAGAGGCTGTATTGTCTCGCTTGCATCACACATGTTAAGCCATCCTCACTTTGCCCACCAAGATAATGCTTGTATTTTGAGTCTGTTTAACAAAGAGTTTCTTGGAAGGGGGGAAATCTGAGCTGATTTTTTAATTTCTTGTTTTGGGGTTAGATTTTCTAATGCATGAAATGAACCACTTGGATCCCAATGACCTTCTGGGAATGTGCTTGCACTAGCGGTGGGGTGCAAGATGGGCAGAGCTGGTGCTGAGGACCCAGAGGCCACACATGTGTCAGGGGCTTGCTCTGAAGCAGCCCGTTAGCAGCTGAAGCGCACCGCGCGTGTTCCCGGAGCACACCTCCTGGTCAGGGTGACCTGGAAGGGACCTAATCCATGCTCCTCAGGACCACCTCAAGGTCAGCCAACACGTAAGAGGTGGGTATAGTCAGGAGATTCACATCAAAAGGTGCTGCTGATCTGAGTTAAAATGCTAATATAAACATAACCACAGCCTGATACGAACAGTACCCATACTTCTATGTTCTGTGCATCTCCTTCGCCCACCTGAGTCAAGCGGTGATGACCCAGAGCAGTCTGTAACACTGTCATTTGTCACCGCAGAGAGCCAGAGACTGCTGCTAACCCCATGCTGTAGCATCCCCAGATGCCACAGACAGGAGTGCACCTTGATTGGGATGCAGGGAGCTGCTCCTTTCAAAAGACTCTCTTGCTATTTAGCAGCATGTGATGGCGGAAGCCAAGAAAATGGGAAATTATGACACCTGATGGCATTTGCTGGTGAGGAGAGCTTTTGCTGAACTTACAGAACGAGCTTGAGGATACAGCCGGTAGTTTTGCAGATGACAAACTAGACCCACTGACGACCTTCACTGAAATCACTGGAAATTAGAGGCTTACTGGCTCTGTGGCTTTGAGCTTCAGTTTCCTAGGCTCCATCTTGGAGAGTGTCAGGAGATTTCTGACATATTTAAACACCCCAAATTTCAGAAAACTTAGTTCAGCGCTTTCATGAGTTGAGTCTACTGGCAGCCCAAGAAGTGACACTGTAGCCTCTAAAGTTGACTTGCTTAATAATCTTTCCTGCATGCATGTACATATTCTCCCATTATACAGGCACATACTTTTATTAATAATGAGTGTTTTCCAGGGGCGAGGCATAAATCTGTATTTATGCCACGTGCAGTTTGTGCTTGAGCCTGTATCACACAGACCAAAGCAATAGGGTATGAGGAAACAGTGCTTGCCCCATCACTGTTAATTTCTGCGAAAAGCAACGATAATGATATCTGGTACTCACAGCACTGTGCCGGTGCTTTTCCTCTTGATTCTGAAGTGTGAGGAGTCACCTGTGAACTCCACGTCGTAGCTGGCCTCATCGGCAGCAACCCCTGGGGAGTCGATCTTGAGCGGGACTTCAAACCGCTGCCTGTTGGGGTCGTAGAGCTAAAGCGAGGCAAGGAGGACCCAGGTCAGCTCGTTGATTAGCATGCATTGCTTTGGTTAAATGATTCCCCCCTCCCAAAATACTCACCCTGAACCGGAGTCTGTCCCTTGTCTGGAACTCCACTTCCAGGACAACAGGGGAGATGTCATTTCCGAAGAGGGACAAGGCCTGGCGCTTGTTCAGCATTACCCTGCGGCAGAAACACGCGCTGCCGCCCACCACCACCGCCCACTGCCTGTGAGCACCCTGGCGTGGCAGGCGGGAATAGCTTGGGTATTCTACCTCCGTTTTTTAGGAATGAATCATTGATTTATCGAGAGAAATAATCTCCAAGGTTAGCTTAGGCTCTCCTTGCTGTTAATGGATAAAATAGGTAATCTTGAAGCAAGCAGACCTCACAGTCTACCGGGACACAGCTCCCAGGCTGGGAGGGACCGCCCTGTGCCAGCGCCTGATTTCCTCATGGGGGTCACAGCGTGAGCGCAGGACCCCAACTCTGCATCCCTTACAGGTGGTGAAACCCAGCCGTTATCCTCCTGGTCGCAAGCTGAGCGGGTGGTGGCAGAGCAGCCTGGGGAAGGTCTTGGGCGAGCTGCCCCCGGGGCGGCAGCAGAGGTCCCCGGCTGCAGCAGTGAAAAAGCCGCGTATGCTTACCTCCAGCCTTTGGCTGTCTTCTCGGTGTTGCCACCCAGGGAGTAGCCATAGGGACTGTCCTCAGGGAAGAAGCACCAGGGAGCGTTGGCCACATCGGTGGGGCACCAGGCGCAGCCCCGCGCCTCGCAGGCCTCCTGGGAAGCGCCCGGCTGGGGGTGGCAGTCGATGCGCCCCTCCACCCCCAGAGCCCCGGCACACCGCCCGTCCTGGCTGGAGCCGAGGCACCCACCTAGAGCTGGACCCAGGGAAGGAGCCGTCAGAGCAGCAGAGAACCGCATTAAAAAACCCCATACTGCAACGTTCCTTAGTTACCCTTCTTTTCTGTTGTGTTCTTTTCCCCATTTTGGGGGTAATACGCACACTTCTTTTGACCCAGCTGATGGCAGGGCAGCAAGCCTGCTCGTGACCAAGAGCAACCGGTTTCTTTGATAAGCCAAGGCAGCGGGTCCGTGGTGTTCAGTGCTCAGAGCTGGAGCACAGCTTGCTTGAAATGCTCATGGGAAGGTAAAGAGCAGGCTCGTGGAACGGCTGCCGCGGCGCGAGAGCAGCACCGCAGGCGAGCTGAGCAGGGGGCCTGCCTCGGTGAGGGCTGGAACTGCTGCAGATATTAAAATAGGGCAGTTTCTGTACACCTATTCTCCCTCGTGTTATACGCAGACGTTATCTATATAGAGAGATACAAATACGTGAAATCAGCAGGCACCTGTACGATATATGTAAGTATAAAAATACTGATTACATAGATGCTTGTATTAGGCTGCATTTCTATATTCTATGCCTACTACATCTATGTAGCATTAGCAGTTTGTGTTCATACAGGTATGGTTATGAGTAAAGGGAAAATGCCAGCAGTAAAAGAAAAGGCACAAATTAGTCGTTCGCAGAATCACTCTGACAAAAACCTCTTAGGAAGGTGCTAAATATTTTCCTTCCTGCAGGTCGAGCCCTGTGGTCTCCCCACGCCAAGCGAGCCTCCTGAGAGCAGGGCGCTGGCTCCCTGCTCTGCTGGCAAAACGCTCTGTTATCAAATATTCTTAAAGGGAGCAGGCGTACCACAGGCAGCATACTTATTTTGAAGTTAACTTATGTCATTTTAGTCATTACAGCAATGTTCAAAGATTAAATCTGCTTGAAAGATAATTGCTCTTTTCCATAAAATGACTAACACCTCTTCTCTAATTTTTTTTTTTTTTTTTTTTTAATGGGGACTTTTTTTGTCTTGAAAGTTTAAAATGGG